AGCCTTGCAAAGAGAAACAGGTGGTTATTAATGTCACAGTGGTTATTAACAAAAATGAGGTCATCATTCAATACTACCTGGGCCTCCTTGGGATCCCCAGGGCCAAGGAGAGGTGAGCTCAGTCTTTACCAAGCCAATGAATGGTCACCTGCCGAATGGTGTTTGGTGAAAGTACCCAGTCTCCAGGGCAAGGTGGTTTTCTGCAAAAGGATAAGGGACTGCAGTGTTGCACCATACTTGCCAAGCTGGTGGTCACCACAGGGGATTTATGAACTAGTGACTTCAGGCTTTGATGAAGAAAAGCTGTGGGTTTACACATGCAAAGTACTTTAAGAAGTCTCTAAGTCATACCTCCCAGCGCCACTTGCTTGCTTAGTCTGCTCTTTTATATCTCAAAAGAGATTGCCTTGAAACACACCCGACCTTTGACTCTCCATCTCCAATGGGGTAATGCCCACAGGAATAAGGGTTGGAAATTAGCATTTACAACACGTGCTTTGGGGGTAGACAATTCAATCCATAGCATATGTTAACTCATACGACTCCTCGACTAAACGCCCAAAGGCAGTGACCAGGAACTCTTCCTTTGAGGACCGCCCAAGCGAGCCTGAAGAAGATGCATTTAAATTAATAGTGTTGGCAACAAATATTGAACCCACCATGGACTGACAGAAACACAAATAAATCTGTCTTGGAAGAAATCCAGATGGAATATTCTTCAAAATCAAGAATAATGAGACTTCGCCTTACATACTTTGGACATGGCATCAAGAGACACCAGTCTCTGGAAAAGGATTTCATGTTTGGTAGATTTCAAAAACTCACTGCCCTTGAGTCGATACCAACTCCAAGGGGCCCTGCTGTGGGACAGGGTAGGACTGTGTCAGTGAGTTTCCAAGAATGTAGCTCATTAGAGGAGTAGAAAGCTAGGTCAGCGAAAAAGAGGAAGACCCTCAAGATAGATTGATCCAAGGGCTGCAACAACGGGCTAGAGTTGTGAGGGTGACGCAGGACTGGGCAGTGTTTTTTTCTGTTGTACATAAGGACATTATGAGTGGGAACTTACTCAATCACACTTAACAATGGCAATAGTGTGCCTGACATGGTAAGCCTGTCACCAAGTAGGAACTTAAAGCATGCTTGTGGAATGAGTGAAAAGAGCTATCAAGTTCGGAGCAGAATACCAGAGGCACTAACTAGGCAGATCGCCAAGCAGGACTAGGAGACTAGCCCCGGAAAAACTCAGTCATAAGGAACAGGACCCTGGGTAGCTGGGTTTCTGAATAAGACAGGAGGCTTGACTTTGAGCCACATTTCAAAGTGGATTCTATTCAAATATCTATCTTCTAGTGCTAGTTAGTTTTGTGCTGGGAACTCGGACAAGGCTCAGCCCATAGTTCAGTGGCTGGACCCCGTTAGATTCAGGAGGGATGATAAAATAGGTAGAGTCAGAGATGGTAGTTAAAAGATCTACAACTGACACAGCACAGGCACCATTTTTGAGCAGTTTTGAGGCCTTTTCTTTGCCAGACTTCAATCCTTTGGTTGATGGATCTTGGAGAGTATGGTAATTAAATAATTTCATGTCACCTTGATAAACAGAGTGAAGGGGTGGAGTCTAGTGTTAGTCAATCAGGTCACAGTCTGATGATGCTTCCTTGTGGGTGTGGCCTTCTCATGAGGATTTCTGGGAACTTCCTCTTTCTCTCCCTGGAGGCGGGCCCTACTCTCTCCTTCACCTTCCTGTTGACAAGCCACATGGAGCCTTGATGATGGCAGCCAGAGCCCTGGAGATGTGCCCACTGCCATTGGATCCACAGGACTTTGAACCCACTGGCCTGTGATCTTCCTATATTTTGCATCATTGCATGTGACTGCGTGAGTCTGAAGAGGGATTTATGGACTGGTATTGGAC